TTTGCCTGCCATCCGTGAGGTTCTCACGTTCCAGGTGCCAATAGTTCGAAATAGTGATATTGTTCCTTGCACGTATCTTGCTAGTTGTTACACCAGTCGCATACTTGTCACCTCCGTCCTGATGCGAACGGAATGTGCGGTCCTTTTTGATCCGCGCGGGTGACGACTGATCCCGTATGGGTTGAGAAATGGTTGTCATTTCATCTGACATATCACGGGCAAATAAAGCCTGGCGGAGCCCATCCCCCTCGAAGCCTGGTTTGGGTTCGAAGTTCCTTCTTCTAGATGCCAAGGATAAAGAGCCCCATCTGCCTGAACCTGATATCCCGCAGGTAACTTGGTCCCTCAAGCGAACGTAGCCTGTAGTCGGTAAAACTTCCTACAGTTACCGCCCTACGGGTGGACTTCCCATGGGAACAGCCTCGGCTCCGCCGCAAGAGCAGTTGCTCACATATGCCGGTGCATTAAGCTTAACATAAGGGAGCTTTTAGCTTTGGCCTTGGCTAAAGGCTTCATATCGCTTACAACATTGGAATGTCTTTTTCACCAAATAGCTCAAATAAAAATGTGCTTAGAGAACGCAGTGCAAAGTTTAACGTTTACACAGTTTTAGACCAAGGCAAGTAAACCGTTGCCACATGACTTGTCATAGATAAATGAGATGTAGAAGGCTTGTTGAAGCAGCTTTCTTTGAGTAGTTGTGTTATATCATGTTGTTTTTGTTTTAATATGGATCTTTTTATCGTATCAGCATTGCCGAATGAACTTGAATCAACCGAACCGTTTGCTTTAATAAGATAGAGAAGATTAATAGTTTAGGATAATGCAGTTAAATTCCTGTTCGTTTTAAGGCTTGGCGTTGAAGTATCCTGTTTAAATCATGTGTTTTCCCACACCTCACAAAGTTTCATTCAAAATACTTGCAAAAGAGTCTTTCATTCATAGAGAAGTTCCAGCTCTAAACAAAGTTTGCATTGCTACTCAGCTAATATGCATTGTTACTCAGTAAATAAATATGTCAAATATTACAGTCTGGGCATCTACTGAAACTGTCGATTGCTTGCACTAGATTACTATTAAACACAAAGCATGCACTTTTTTTCCTAAAAATGGAAACAGTCTGTTTCAGTAGTAAAATGCTTGTCTTTTTAAAAGAAAGAATAATGAGATTATTCTCTCTTGCTTTTTATCAGTGCTTGAAGGAGAAGAGAAAAGTAATTCTTAATAGTCGTTACTATTTTATTGGCTCTCAGTCAAGGTCCATACAGCGCAGTGCGTTTAGGAAACAAAATCAATGATGGCCGTTCGTGCAGGTTGCCTTCTTCGGAACCATTCGATGAAACTAGCATTCAAATTCGCACTGACCTACATTGTTACTCCATGTTCGTTGTACCTTTATTTTGTTCAGAGCCACTTGTTAAATGATTTACTAATATATAAGTACCCATGATCACCAGAGAAAATGTTCCAAATATGGCAAATGTCGTGGATGCTCCAAAGTTACTTATGAGGAAACCACCGATGAGCTCCCCTGATCCATGTCCCAAACCCCAGTGGACACCATGTAAAATACCTGAAATAGAAAAATAACATTAAAAAAATGTCAACTTTATAATCCCTATTTTTATTCATTCAAAATATTTCTTCATGTCTTCATCAGTCGGCTAATTCTTCATAACTAGCTGGTACTGATTAAGTTTGGAAGATGTCTGTAAATATTCTACCGGCATTGACATCAGTCACTGACGTCAATGATAGCATAATCGCAAATTATCCTCGAGTGACGTAACGCAAAACGGCAGCTTGGTAGGTTAGCTATTTAAGAAGAGGAGAACTGGAAAATGAAACTGCTGAATTACTGAGGCGGTCTTGGTGGACAACACCCTCCCTAAACTGCGTGATTGTTTATATCGTACGAAAGCCAGATTTGATAAATGTTAAACAAAAGGAAAATGATACAATTAACCGCAGTCTCACTGTTTACCTTGCAATGTTACCGATGCTCCCTCTACCGAGTGAGTTCCCACGTAAGACATCATGGCTGCCCAGACTGCTGCTGTGGTGATTCCAGATAACAACTCAATTGGAAGAACCTTCCAGGGATTAGTAACAAGTGCATAGTAAAACAAGCGCACGGCGTAACACGTTAACCCAAGGTACAGTACACGTATTGTACCAATGTAGGCAATAAGCTTAGTGGAAAGAAAATACAAAGTAACCTCCGCGACACAGTTTACACCTGTCATGATGCTGAAGAGAATTTGAGTGCCACCTAAATCTTTAAGATGCCAAAACAGAAAAACCCGGATGAAACCCATTGTAATGCCCACATAAAATGCAGTAACCAGGAACATGGCGTGTCTTGGTCGAGTGAGAAGTTTAAGCCCCGCAATGATGCCTTGGTCGCTACGTTTAGTTTCATCATCATTAGCAGGTGTATCGTTGGTTGCCACCTTATCTTCATCAGTATCTTTAGTGTCTGGCTTGTTATTGTTATTGAAGTTAAATCTCGACCCAATTACCAAGGCAATAATGTTATAGACAACAAACATTGCAAAGCAGGGGTAGTAGTTGACGTCTTTGCGCCTGGCGCTTCCTGGAGGACAAAGATGAGTTCGACTAATGGCAGTGCCGATTAAGAATGCCATTGAGCCGTAGCCAACAGATCCCCATAGCCTTTGCTTTCCATATTTGTGAGTCTCATCATTTTGCTTTAAGAGGTTTACAGTAGCAGTGTCCCCTAATGTCAGACTGGGACACGATAGTATGGTTGTCAACATTGTGGCAAAGAGTAAGTAAAGGAAGATAAAAGAGTTTTTCCTTTTAGGGGACTTTCGTGAATTTTCTTGAAGGGCGATCATGTCTGATTGAGACCACGGAGTTTCCTCGACAGATTCGTCTGCTGTTTCCGATACGCCATCCAAAGACATCTCTTCTTTTCTACCTTTTCTAACGCTAAATTCCAAACCATCAGCAAACATATTTTCTCTTTCTGGGGAAATCTTGCTCAGTAAATCTGATATGCGGGAAGATCGTTTTTTATCAAGTTTACTGCTTTCATTATGTCTTGCTGTTTGCAGTCTTCGAGTACTCACTGTTACCTGATTATACCTCATAGAAGCATCCCTGGTATCACGAAAAACTATTCTGGAATGCCAGCGGTCATTGGACAGATTGGAGTTGTTCGGAATCTTCCAGAGCTCGCTGCCAACAGGGTAATATAAGGGGCTTTTGTTATCATCTGGAATTCCTCGTGTATTTACAGTTGTTGGCTCAGTCTCGCAAATGTTGATGGGAACGAGAGCGTAGGCGACCATTCCCGAAATTAGGGCAATCATGGAAATAATAAACAACAGCTTTCCCTTCTTGAATCGATCAGCGACGCATCCCCAAAATGGAATGAAGAAGAAAGCGATGTAAGGCTTCATTCCAGTTATGGCTCCAATTTGACTCGGAGGTAGCTCAAGTTGCTTAAAGAATAAGGCCAAATACGGCAACAAAGAACCCTGAGCGGAAAAGAAGAAGAAGTAGAATCCTTTTGATATCAAGTAAACCTTGTTCATAGTAAAACATCTTTCAGTTTTCTCTTCTTCCACTTTATCTCCATGGTTCTCATTTGTTTCGTTAGTGCCTGTAGAAGACATAATTTACTAACGTGGTCGATTCGTCTTAATGTCTTGCAATTTACTAACTAGTAGGGGTATTTCGTTGTTAAGGGCGAAATTGTGAGCAGTTTATTGTTACAGCGATAAATAAGTGATCAAATCCACGTGCGAGTTCAAGTGCGCATCAGATAAATGACTGGTGGGTTGCTGGTAAATGCAGGTGACGAGAGAATCGTAAACTCGGTCTCTTGTCCTAGAATAAAACTATTGCTATTTTGTTAACAAATTAAGTTCAAATCCCGTGAATGTTGAGCAGATTTTACTAGTTTGACACGTGCGCTGCCACGAATCGTCGAGCTTCCTCAATTTGCTTAAACCGGAACTGGTACAACAGATAATGAGAAACTTTTATATGCCACAGAAAGCGCTCATGGGTAGCCTTCATTATTGCGCAGAAGTGGGTATCATGCTAAAATGTCTTCTTATGGTTAAGCTTTAGTCCTCTCAGGTAATAATTCTTAGTCGAGTCAACATTAAAATAATATTTTCCTTGAAACTTAAATTTGTAGATAAATTTAAGCAGATGCAGAGCCAAATGTTGCTAATGTATATCTGAGATTTGCCTGTTCATAGGCCCTCTATTTTCTCTTTAGTGATCGTTGAGCGCACGTATCGATTTTCGAAAACAAAAAGAAAGCAGCTTCTGTGTACAGGCTAATCTGATATGTGTGACTCTTGATGGACTCAAAAGACAATCTTAGACGTTTAGCAGAGAGGGACGATACACTTTCAGTTAATTATTGACGGCTTAAAGGCTATTCCCCTTAAACTTCCCCCCTTCTTTATCATCACTGGTTTTTTTGGATTCTTTAACTTTCTTGAACTTTGTTTTTTTTGCTTTTAAAGTGTTACTGGTAATCTCTTTTTCATGATTCAAACTCCCCCGACCCCGAAAGGGCAGTAAAATTCCAACAGTGACGGACCAATGTTTGCACTGTCTCCAATCTCCAAGCACTGAGCACGTGACCAGTCGAAATTCACACTCTCTGATAATGAGATAATCAAAGAGAGAATGCCATGGGGTCGAGGTTAAATTTTCAAACGAGTGGGCACTAGTAGACAGTGGATTGCCTAATAAATCAGGACAGCGGGATCGATTGATAAGCAAAACATTTTCTCTATAGGAGCATTTTATTGTTTCATGAAATATTTCTCTGCCGTTCATTTCATAGAACAACTTCGAATGATCAAGGTTTTTTAGAGAACGTAAATTTACGTTGTACGGTTAATTTTCCTTTCTCCGAGGGAGCTTAAAAACATACACACCCGGCAAGTTTCAGGCGCGTGGTAGAAATTAAACTAAATTCAAAATTGCCAAAGGATTTCAAAAGGCTGACTATTGATTTACGTAACACCTGCATTGGCGTTGCCATCATGTTCACTTAAAGTGTCAAAGACGTTATTATGAAAGCTAAGTGGAAATTGATTTCTCTACTAAAAAAGGGAAGCCACTAGTGGTTGTAACTACACGGAAGGCTCTTTTAATGGCAGCTAGTATGTATACACATATCCTAGCTCCTTTCAATTATAGAAATCACTGACATGCAGACCTAATATAATTCACAAATATAAACCACAGAATCCCTCAGCCAGGAATGGTAAACATTAGCACCAACGTCGTGATGTAGACAGTTTCAGCTACATAAAAAAAAAAAGTCACGTTGGTTTTGATTTATTTAATTCAAAATGCTCGATTGCCTTACCTATTCACCCTATTTATTTTAATCACTGAAATAGCTGCTATTTCAAAAAATAGATAGATTATTTCCTTCTTTCCTTTTATCATCTCCGGTCATCATCACTGACATCTGAATATTCGGTGGCAGAATCTCCGTTGCAACCTTCTTTACCATCTCTGGACCCGCAGAAATAATTAATTAAAACATAAACTCCTAAAATAGCAATGCACAAAATACCAAATATAATAAATGTGGTAGGAGCACCATAATGGTGGACCATAATCCCTCCTATCACCTCCCCTGCGCCGTAGCCTAGTCCCCAGTGCACTCCATGCAATATGCACTGCATTGTAGTGGCGGCGCCTGGGCCTGAGTTTATACTGACGTAAGAGAGACAGGCAGCCCATACTGCTGCTGTTGTTATACCTGGTAACAGTTCCACAGCAAGGACCATCCACGGGATGGGAATAGCTGAGTAGTAAAACAGCCTTATCGAGTAGCAAAGTAGCCCTAGATACAAGACTTTGGCATGGCCGATTCGTTTTATTAGCTTGGCTGAAAGAAAGTACATGCTAACTTCAGCGAAGCAGTTCACGGCGGAAATGATACTGAATAGGAGCTGGCTTCCACCAAGATCCTTGAGGTGCCAAAAGAGAAATGTTTTAATGAATGCCATGAGAAAACCCAGGTATAACGCAGTGAAAAGGAACATAAGATATGTGGGACTTTTCAAGGCTTGAAGGCCAACGCTTAAGCTTGCTCCTCTTGACTTCTTGGTTTTTTCTTCAAATTTGAACTGTGTTGCTGTTAACAAACCCAAAAACATCAGAATAGCAAAGGTGTAAAAGCAGGGAATATAATCAACAATCTCATAATCTTTGTCTTTTCCGCAGTTGTGAGTCGTTTTTAAGGACGCACCGACCACAAAGGCTCCAACACCCCAACCAATAGATCCAGTGAGCCTCTGCATGCCATATTTGTGGGTCTCTGTTCCCAGAAGTTGAAGGGTGGCGGTGTCTACCAGAGCAAGAGTTGGAGCGGAGATTAAAGTACCGAAAAATGTTATCAAAAATAACGTCATAAAGCACTTAGTTGTATCCAGTTCTACTCGTACGTTAGTCTTTTCATCCAGGTTGATAAAAAGTTCAAGAGACCAGGGTTTGGGACCTTTGAAAAAGTAAGGCATATACGATTCTTGGTTTCTGTCTATCTCAACCATTTTGTCAATTCCGGGTTCGGGAAACTCAAGATTAGGGCTGTCAATAACTGGTCTATTTATGTCTATCAAGCTGGAATATTTGGGGCCAGTAATATTACAAAATCTTTTGACCACTACTTTCTTTTCTTTGGGCCCTGGAACTAAGCTGAGAGTGAACGTACCAAGTATAAGTGCGATAATGGAAATGACCATGACTAATTTGCTCTTCTGGCACTTGTCCACGATGGCGCCCCATATCGGGATAACAAGAAAATTAACAAAAGGCTTCAGTCCCATAAGAATGCCTACTTCACTCGGTGAAAGCATCAGCTGTTTGAAGTACAAAGCCAGGTACGGAAGCAATGATCCCCAAGCAGAGAAGAAAAAGAAATAAAACGCTTTGGGAATCAGAAGTTTTCGATTCACCCTGGGACAACATATCTTCTCATCGCCGATGCTCTCTTGATTAGTGATGGTTTTCTTGTCGTCGTTCCACATATCTCCTCAACATATCTCCTCAATGTTTGAGTTCTTAAAACCCTTACATGAAATAATTTCAAGTAGGCCAAAGATATTTAGAGTTAGATTGGTTCTCTGTTCAATGTTGGTGCGAAACATTAAATTCCTCTGTGGGCACGTAACAATTTTGACAAATTTTTTCTTTCACAATTTGTCCTTTTCTGGCCGCCTAGTGATAACACGTGAATTTTTTATGATAAGCAACTTAACAGGTGTTTTGTTGTCAACGCCTCGGTCCCAAACCGTAACCCGGGGTGCGCGGTCGCGTTAAAAGTGTAGTGTTTGATAACTCACTCGTCAGTCACTCTCGCGCGATTTTCCACGTAAGGTGTATTTCTCACACCTTTTTTACGTAAAAATTTCAGAGAAACTTATTGTATTTACACGTAATACAAAAAATAGCAAATACTAACAAACTTGCTTCATAGCATAGAGATGGAATAAGGATATCAAGCAGCGTTAGCTCAAAAGATTTATCCTTGTATCACGTCTTTATGTTTGCTATATTCACAAAAGAAGTTGGAAGACGTTCGTTGTTATATAACGCATTTCATGATAGAAAGATTAACTATTCAAGCAATTTAGCTTGTTCTCGATTTCGCTGCTTACTTTAGTTAGACACAGGCCCGCTAAAACCACCAGAATAGCTTACAGGTGGTCGATCCGCTAGGGAAGTTTTACCAGCCCAAGTGATGAAATGAGCAGAACTGGGGAGCAATTTTTACAACTATCCTTTTTGACGTTATTTATTTATTTTAGCAGAAGTCAGCAAACCGGAAATAAGCAATGACGAAAGCGTAGGCTTATTTATCACATTTTAAGTAAAGCAATTAAAGTCATTGAAAACATTCATTTCAAACAAAAAAATGGCACCAGTCGTTAAGTATCCAGAGAACAGGAGTCTATTCAGTAGTGTAGCAAAGACTTTTCAACCAAACGATTCCAGACTAGCTTAGGAATATCCGACTAGATACAATACAACTATTAGGGGTCAGTTTTAGAAGATTTTTCTGTTAGACTAAAAATGTTGCCTTTCAAAAAATAGATCGATTAAGATTTTCTAGGTCCACTCCCGGATACAAGAAGGGCTGATGTTGAATCCGTTAGCTTTGAGACTTGAGACATGGAAGTTTTCACCGAAATTTCCACCATTTATTATTGCAACATTTTTACGTTTAACGGATAAACGTTCCGGTCATTCTATGGCTACTGGTTAACCTCATGAAAACCCTCTATTTATTTCGACCATTTTTATTTCCAGTAAGTCGAATTGGCAACGCTGGAAAGAGAGCCTTAAATTTCGTGCTCTATCACAATCAGATTAGAACTTCGATATATAAAACCAGTTATACTTAATTCTTTATCTAATTATTTTTAATCTGCTCAAAGATGTGAGACCAGCTCACTTAACATGGATTTGGTATATGATATACATTAACTAATCACTCGAGGGACCTGTAAAAATTGTTTTAGTTGATCTATATTCTCAACAAGAACGTTCCCAAAAAGAATGCAAACTGCACCTGTAGCATAAGCTTCGAAAGCATTTGCCGACCCAACAAAGTTAATCATTACACCACCGAGTACCTCTCCACACCCATATCCAAGTCCCCTGTAAAATGCGTATAGAATTCCTTGATGTGTTGTGGCGTTATCAATGGTCGATATTTCATTGACATAGGACATCATTGCCACCCAAGCTAACGCGTTTGTTATTCCAGGCATGAATTCAATCGGAAGAACGTGCCAGGGGTTAGTCAGGCATGAATACCACAGACAACGTAAGGCGAAACCTCCTGTAGCAATAAATAACACCCATGCGTGGCCGAGGCGCGAAATGATTCTGTCTGATAAAACAAACATAGAGACTTCTGCAAAGCAGTTTACAGCTGTGATAACGCTAAAGAGCAGCTGAGTTCCGCCCAAATCTTTCAAATACCAAAATAGGAAAGTCTTCGTGAAGGCATTCAAAATTCCAAAATAAAACACCGTGACTAAGAAAATAACGTATTTCAGGTTTAAGTTCTTCTTAAGGCTATTAATTATCCCGTTGCGTTTATTTTCACCTTTTCTGTCTTTTGTGTCATAGGAGAATTCAAATTTTGTAGAGGTTAAAAGGGCTGATAACATTAATACACCAAATGTGCAAAAGCATGGCATAAAGTTGACTTCGGAAGGCTTGGTAAATGGATTAGGACAATGGTGACTCAGAGTAACTAACGCTCCTACTACGAATGAGGTAACTCCCCATCCAACAGAGCCCCACAGTCGCTGCCGACCATACAAGTGCACATTAGGTTTTAATGTCTTCATTGTGATCAAGTCAGCAAGGGCTAACGACGGAGAAGAAAAAATGTTGCTCAATAAAATAACGATAAATAATATTGTGAAAGCTTTTAAAGTGTTGAAGTGTTCTTGTGGCGACGTCGAAGATGAAGTCTCTTCTTCGCTCATATAAACCAACGGCCATGGCTTTCCGTTCACCACGGAGGACACGAAAACAAAATTCTTCCAGTAAGAGGAGATATTTCCGTTATGTTGAGGCAAGATGCTCGATGTATTACTCGGCAGCTCAGTGGCACGAGAGACTAATCGCATTGCGCATATCCGCTCAGCTGGTGCAACTAAAAACAGCGAGGACTGTGACAATGCAGTAACGAAAAGGGATAGCAAAAGAACTGCCTTGCCTGTTTTGAAACGGTCCACTAAGGCCCCCCAGAGCGGAGTAAAAATAAACTCCACAAAGGGCTTCAGTCCCATTAATATTCCAACTTGGGATGGTGTTAGTTTCATTTGCTTGAAATACAAAGCAAGATAAGGCACCAAAGCTCCCAATGAAGAAAAATACAAGAAATAAAACAGTTTCGATGGGATGAGTCTTCTGTCGATTCGTGGGCAAAAGTTCCTTTCACTATTGCCATCGAGTTGGTGGTCTTCTT